GAAGTTGGGATTCATGAGAAACCCCAACAGTGTAAGTTCCCTACTGTCCCTGGGGAGGGTCAGATGAGCAGAAAGGGCACATTATGCAGCTCTGAGGGCAGGGCTGGGGCTATAGTGCACTTGGTAGAGGGCTCGCCTGGTGTGCACACAGCCTGGGGTGGCACACCTCTGCAACAGGAGAGTGGCAGCAAGAGGACCAGGGTCTCAGGGTCATCTGTGGTTGGGTATCAAGTTTCAGGCCAGTCAAGCATCTATACAATCCTGTCTCAAGCCGGGCAGTAGTGGCTCATGTCTTTAATCCCAGCCCTAGAGAGGCAGAGGCAGGTGGATCTCTATGAGTTCAAGGCCAGCCTGGTCTACAGAGTGAGTTCTAGGACAGCTAAAACTACACACAGAAAAACCCTGTCTCAAAAAACATAAACAAACAAACAAACAAACACAGTCCTGTCTCAAATAAAGCAGCACTAACATCAGCCTGTTAATAGCTAGGATCCGATGAGAGCTTCCTGTTGCCAGGTAATTCACAAGGTCTTTTATCTACATGCTATAATCCACAGGGTATGTTCCACGTGATAGATGGTATAAGGTTTTTAAACACTGCCAGATCCACAAGGCTAGTATGGCCACAAAATCTGTTTCACAAGTGAGAGTACTGAAGCTCAGGAAGGCCACACCAGGCTCCCAGTTCTAGAGTTGAAAGGCGCAGGGTTTGCCGGTAATGTCCTAAGTGGCTGTTCATCCCTGGGGCTCCCCTGTCCCATCTGTCCCAGTATTTCACCACTGCATGCCGTCACCAAGCTGCCAACAGTTAAAAACAGTTTCAGTTGGAACTGGAAAGACGGTTCGGCCGTTAAGAGCACTGGCTGAGCTTTGCACATTGGCAGTATCGTAGCCAACGAGGTTTATCTGAGGCGCAATTATTGCTGATTGAAAACTCTTCCCAAGAGCACTGGCTGGGGGTCAATTCCCAGCACCAACACGGCAGCTCACACCTGACTGTAGCTCCAGTTCTAGGGGAGCGGGCACTTTCACAGACATACATGCCGGTGAAACACCAACACACATAAAATAAGTGAAAAGATCTTTTTAAAGAAAAAAAACCCCCAACAGTTTCGGTCTAAGGAGTATGACTAAGAGTTTAGCAAATATGCAGAGCTCAGCAAAGGCTGAAGGGCTCTCTGTGTGCGCAGGTGTCTAAGGACAGGGCGGTGACCCTGGGGCACTCCTCCATGGTGGACACAGCCCTGGTCACTGGGTGAAAGGTCCCGTCAGGTTATATAAGCTCCATGCCTGCAGCCCACACCTGACCTCTGAGCAGGCTTTTAGAAAGATACAGAAGAGCCATTCTAAGATAAGCAGGCCTCTATGGACCGAGCCTAGTGTTTGGGTAGGCTGCCCAACAGAGATCTCAGCCCACCCATCCCTCCTGTCTCGGTATCTCCACTCTACTTCCTGGGCGTCTCTTGCCCTTTTCCCTGTTGCCTTATGTAACCGTGCAAAGAAGGGGTCCTTATCTTCCTTTTACAGGTGAGGACACTCAAGGTGAAACAGATTAATGATTTCCTTGAAGCTATAGGGCCAAGGAGTGGCAGGGTGTCTGAACCCAGGGCAGGTCTTGGTCAGAAGGCCAGGCACTTATGTGCTGGACTGAGATCTGGCAGCAGCTAGAGAGAGGACAGGTGAAGTCCTGTGGGAAGGCAAGGGCTATGTGGATCTTGTTTGAGCGTACCGTGAGCCCTTCCATGGCCCTCCGTTATATAGATAAAAATACAGCGCTGGGCTGATAGTCTTTGCTAGCTTGCCCATCCTACTGGAAGATTCTAGACTCTTTCTTTCTTTCTTTCTTTCTTTCTTTTCTTTCTTTTTCTTTCTTTCTCTCTCTTTCCTTCTTTATTTCCCCAGCTGCCTCCTCTCTACCAATGCTGCTTCTACTTGCTGACTTTTACTACTTCCTCCAAGAAGCCTGCCTCGACTGACTACTCATACTAAATCAAGTTTCTTCTTCTTCTTCTTCTTCTTCTTCTTCTTCTTCTTCTTCTTCTT